ATTCATGTTGAGCCAGGGCATTTACAACACAACATATATTAAATAATTATTTTGTTGATCTTTGTAAATATAGTGAATTGTAAATTTGTTCCAATCACTCTTTTATTAGATTTTGACACATGAGTGTGTGCGTTTGTTTGTATGTATTTGTTTTGGTCAAACGTTTTATCTATCTACTTATCTCAAGTCGTTATTACTAAACATATATTTACTTCTTAATAGCATTGTACAATGCAACATCTGTTTTAAATTATAACTCCCATAGCCAAATAGAGCTATCACGAAATAATCTTTACAAGAGCTATAAAAATTAATAAAACCGACTACCCCGATAACCGAGGTCATAACGGGCAGCCATTAAAATTTTATCGCCAAAATATTTCATATGGCAACACTGCCCGTGCCTGCGACAGGTGCAGTCGAGCACGACCACAGACTATCGATATTTCGATAGATTGTATTTTGATAGTACAGTGCAGCCCTAGCGATGTTATAGAAATGGCAAATTTTGGCGGTTCATCGTTTTTTAAGACCTTTTTATAAACGATGTCAAAATATTCTTGATAGATTCTTTGTTGATAGGTCACGTACTTGCTTCCAGTGGTGGGAATTATTTAGCAATTTGTCAAAAGATCCAGCCTACGTAGATAAGTTAGACGTGAAAAGTGTTTCTTTAGGTAACAGAAAAAAAAAAAAAAAATTTAGTCTGAGTAGCAAGTTGTTTAGTGTAGATTACAGACGAATAAAAACTAGCCTAAATAACTATCACAAGTATCCGTAACTACAAACGCGTACTGCTCTGAAACAGCGTCGGGAGAAAAATTAAAAATACTGTGGTTATTAACCTGTAATTACTGACAATTGATCAGTGATGTTGGATATTTGATACATAAAGACGAACGCGAAAATTTTGAATCCGAGGTGAGGTAGTACCGATTATTAAGGGCTATGTCATATTATTTACGCAAGCTACAATCTCCACTTGCAAATAAAACTGTCTTGGGATTGGGAAGGCTTCAACTCTGTTGATAGTACATTGTATAAAAGTTACGAAGTAAATAAAGAATTTAAAAAAACCTAGAACTTTCTACAAAGTTCGAACTCTATGCAAGCCGATGCACCTGTCTACGGTTCGGTCCGATATTTGCCAATATTTAGGCGATCTGCCCGCAGATATTGCAGGCGGACTTTCAAATAGAAAATGTCTCGATTTAAACCGCAACGTTGGATTGAGATCTCTGTAATGCGAACCGAAACAGCTTTCGAATCGCTTTGTTTTGTGACGTGAAATTACTGTGAGAGTATTGAGAATCAAACTGCGCGACGCGCTGTCTGTGTTAGGGATTTTGAGAGTGGAAAAATCTGTTTTCGCTAGATATACGTGATTTCCTAAAAGTTTAGTAGCAGTACCTCTCGCTTACAGAGAAGGAGAACGTCGTGTTAAAACCTGCACGTTTAAAAAGGTTTACAGCCCATGGTAAGAAGTCGTCAACCTGCGGTTGCCTGGCGTAGCGGATTATGATCTTAATTATCTCAACCTGTATACAGAGTGTAATCATAAAGTGTGCCCAGACGATTATTCCATAAATTTAATAGATATCAAAAAGCTTTAAAGTGATATCGAAAGTATGTTACCTAATTATTAAATCGGCATCAATAACTTTTAAAAATAAAACTAGAAATATCCGTCTAGTTCTTCTGTTGTCCTAATTTTTTTCATCCCATACAATGAAATGATCCTTACATAAAACTGAGTCGATTAGCACTCAAAAAGTTTGATCAATTTTATTCATTTTTATAGACAACTCCCATTTGACCAAATAATTCACTATGCCATAATATTTTTATTCAATTAAAAGTTAGTTTTATTAATTTATTTGTATCAGTTTTGGTCTTCTGTAGTTCTTGTTACCTCTTACAGTAGGTAGAACTAAAACCTCTCTACGAATGTAATATAAAATGTATGGGAGCATCTAATGTTAAAATTTTAGACATTTCTAGTTTTATTTTTAAAAAGTTATTTATGTCGATTCCCTTAGGTAACGTATTTTCGATATCCATGTAAAGCTTTTATATACATCTTATGTTTATGGAATAATCGCCTGGGCACACTTAACGGTTACAACCTGGATATATTATAATAATGGGTGCACTATGGTAAATTAATATTATTTTGTCTTCGCTTTAGTACAGTCACACAGATGTTAAGAATATTGTACATGGCTCAATCGCATCGTGGTACCGCCATCGACTACAGCGGAAAATCGTTACCTTTGGGCAAAATTCACACTAAACTATGATTTATTTGTAGGAAATGAAACTTTTTCCAGATTTAAATCGCGTATATTTGTTTTTTCAAACAAACCAAGATTTCAGGCCCTTTACAGGTCTCATTTTTTCTAATATAGTTACAAAAGTTATTAACTTAATATCTTATTTTGAATTTGACAAAGAACATTCCAATTTACGCTACATATGTTTTATAAATTATTTTATTTCAAGAATATGAATTTTTAAATTTTTATTGAATTGATATTCAATTATTATTTGTAAAATTACTCCACTAGTTTCTTATAATTATTATTACAAAGATTCGAGATCGAACACTTCGATCCGGCTTGATTCGAACCGACGTCTTCTAGCTTACTGTGTCAGACGCTATACCAACTAAGCCACGGAACGAACCAGCGAACCTCAGGAATATTTCTATGTGCTTGCGTCGTATTATTTGTTTTTTTCAAAACATGTATTATAGTGCACCAATTTTTTTTATGATATCAAGTGACCGGACGAACAAGTCGTGCGCCTGGTGATAAGCGACACGCCTGACCGTAACAGTTGCATACCGTAATGCTCACATTCTTACTTGGCAGAAGAAATAGGAAATTTGGCAGAATTTCTCTCTCGTCTTCTACTGCTACAAACATGATACAAAACTAATATTTCTATTAAACAAGTGCAGAAAAATTGAGTAGATAGACTTATATCTAAAAGAGATCTCTTTGAGAGAAAAACGGAAAAATATTCGACGACCTCCGTGGTCAAGTGGCATGCACACTGGTTTTCATTGTGTCGCCATCTTTGAGGTTCCAGGTTTGATCCCCAGCCGGGTCAGTGTAGAAAACTAAAAAAAAACTATATTGTTTCCATAACACAAGTGCTTTAGCCACTTACTATATGATCAGAGCAAAGTATGTAATGTTGTCTAATAATGATTTATTTATGCTGTTGGAAGTTCTTGAATAAATGAAAAAATAAGTAAAAGTCACCTCCACAGTCTTTGTCGCAATCAGTGTAGAAAATAAAGTTTACCGCCACTTTCATTGAGTATAAACAAAGCAATAATGCTAAGAAATTCTCCTGTTTTGCTAGACCAAATTTTTCCTAGCGTGCTAGGAATTGCGTACATGCCCCGCATTTTATGCGGTTTCAGTTGAAACTCGAATTTCGCCGGCTTTGAGTCGCATCGTTTGTTCTCTAAAATATTCTTGTAGCAGGTGCTTTTGTGGATAAAATCCAGGATACAAGTTACTTTATTGTACATTACAATAAGTATCATATTTCTATATCCTTTCGTGACGTAAGTGCTAAATGGGTTTCAAAAACATCGTGTTCTTTGTTTTTTTTCGGATAGTTTATGTGGAAAATTAAATTTGAAATTTACCACGAGCTTTTCAGCGAAGGAACACCACGTGATGTAACCTGAACGTCGAAAGAGATTCACAACTCTCGGAAAACGTGTTAAGTTCCCAACTCGCCTTAGACCATCGTGGCAGACTTTGGTCGTATAAACGCGTTGATTATGATATCTATGATATGCAGTGCTACTTAGAGCTATAATCGCAAAGATTTGAGGAGCACTGCCACTGCTCGCCTCACATTTCTTCTCAGCTAGATATCCTCCGGTCCCTCCAGCCGCTTAGGTTATTGGGAACTGGAGAGAGTCGTTTTTCGGCGTCGGGAAGTGAGCGTGGCTTACAGCTTCGCCGCCAATGAGAAGATTTGGTAATGGACTCAGACTCGACGGCTTAGCGGTGGCAACCGCTAGTTGCGCACTGCGCATCGGGAAGTGAGCGTGCCTACAGCGTGCACCCGGGGCGCTGGCCTCTCGAAGGACCGGATGAAGTCAAGTGACAGAGGTCTGTGACAACCCTGTACACTGGCTGATCTGAGGTCAGTGAACCTGTAAGGTTCCTGTGCGCGCATAGGTCACAGTGCCCTTCCCGCATAACCAAGAGGTTGATAGGGAGGGGGACTATAAACAAAACTTATGTAGAATGATATGGGACTGCTCACCTCACATTATTTATTTGTGAAAACACAGGTTATTGTAGAAGCTAACATGTACAAAATGAGTGTAGTTTCTATGTAAGTATAGTGTAATGTTGAAGGTATAGGTATTATACATTCACTCACATGCACTTCGACATACTATTAACCAAGTGTAACATGTTTCTTTTTCAATAATATTACATGGGCATGTACACATGTTTTTAATAAGTCGGTCAATTTTAATGGTAATTTATGTGAAAAAATAATATCGTAATATGAATAATGTCCAATGTCAAAAATTAGACAATGAATTTAGGGATTTATCATTTACAAATTCGGATACTGTATAGTACATTTTATTAGTAAATAACTTGTTTAATTGTTTTTTTAAATAGCACAAGGTATTAATTGTTTTAGTTATACAGGCTTTCAAACGGAGTTGGTGAATTCGTCTTGGCTTCAGAGTTCGCGTGAACAAGTGTGGGTGCACTCGGACATACACGGCAGTTTCGTAGATATAAAGTGAAGGAACAGTCAGTAGTCGAAGGTCTTTAAAATTGGTTTGTAGCTATCTGCCCTCTTCAATCGACAAATTGTTCTGACACATGCTTTTTGCCTAAAAATATACTTAGTTCTTTTACGGAAAACGAAAAATATAACACGCAAAGTCAAACAAGACACGTGACATTGCATTTCGTAGTATATCAGAAAACAATTTCAAAACTTACCCTTTAATAACAGCACAAAATTCTTCTTATCATCACCGCCCTTGGGGTACTCCCAATCCACGTCGAGGCCGTCGAAGTTTCTGTCCCTCAGGTAGGGGATAGCTGAGTAGATAAAGGTCTGGCGAGCATAGCGGCTAGCTGACAGATCCTTGAACTTCTGAGTTCCGAAAGACCAGCCACCTGGGTTAAAAAAAACCACCGGTTTAATGTTGTTGTTCAACTTTGAAGTAAAATAGACATTAAGACCATTTCGCAAAATACACGATGTCGAATGTAGAAAGTAACATATTATGATGGATGAGCACAGTAGCGAAATAACATTGTTATTTCAGGTTAATGTTGATGGTTTATGTTGATGGTTTATTTTCTAAATAGCATCCCATCGGGATCCGAAACAGAGATGTTCCAACACTGTAAGAACAAAAGTTGTTTGCGCTACAAGTTGAAACTTTATTCTGTGACTTCAAAACGTGAGAAAGTTCTCAAAACAGCTGTACTTTTTTTCGTGTATATTAGATGGCTCTTAAACTTAAAAGAGAATCTACCTACAACAGTCGTGATGGTTCGAATGTCTTCTTGACATTTGAATGAACATGTTACAGTCACCAAGATTTATTGTTATTTTACAAATTAAGAAAATAGCGTTAAGTCGTTTTCGAAATAATTATCTATCATTAATAATATTGCAACTTTTAACTTATTAAAATTCGCAATTAACAAACATGTTGCGATGTTCCACAACCTTATAATAACGAAATAAAAAAATCTGTATAACTTGATCTTTTTAGGTTTAATGCTATTAACAGAATTAGCGTAGTTTATTGTTATAACCGTTTCTGTTATTATTGTGTTTTTTTAATGGCGTCCATTGATGGAACAAGAATTAGGCCTGGTATACTTATAACACTTGCAGTGCCATTCGAAGCTTTAAATCAAATGGTAGTGAAGAGCACTACCACTATAGTTCCATCAGCAAAAAAACTCTTCCTAACTGGAACACAATAATGCTTCAGAAATAGATAAGGTGGCTGTAACGGTAACCTATCACAAAGTCGAAATTTTTTTATTTTTTAAATTTTAATAACGAAACAGTTGTTCTTTTAGGATATATTGAATGTTTATCGCAAAGACACGATAATGCTTCGGTTAAGTTAGGTTTAAAAGAAAAAACATTTTCCTAAAGCCATAATTTCGTTGTACGCCGTGCTTGTTATATTGTATTCCATTCGTTACACGCAACACGAAAAAACTGCGGGAACATTGTCTACCTTAACGCCAATTAACAGACAGGAAATCTGTCGTAACTAGTGCAGTCAAGCAAAAAGTCGTATGCCGATTATTATCGATTTCATTATCCAACTCTAGTCAATCATTGCGCCACTTTTTTTTTGCGCTCTTACGAAAATGGGCGCGGTTTTATGCGTTCCTGTGAAGCGGGTGAAAATACGCTTTGTGTTGTGAGAAAGGCTTGTTCACTGTTCACATAATATGACGTAGGGATGTTATTCCTGAGTTATCGATGGAAATATTTAAGTGAATTATTTTTATTAGCAAAATATTTTGTTTCATTTAGACGTATTTTTTTTATTGACCTAAATACAGGAAAAATACTTATTTACTAATTACAAGCTTCGCTCACAAAGACCGTTCTGGTCTTATCCGCGGTGAAGGAGATCAGTCTATTTACGTAAAGATGATATATAATGGAGCGAAAATCTTAAAAACCAACTTAATTACTTCTAGACAGGTACAAAAACATGCTCACTTCCATGTGTATATCAGTGGCATATAACAACAATGAAGCAATTTACAAAATAAAGTTTATATCTTCAGTTTTCAAAAGATGTTTCTTAATGTATGATTTATAGTGAATGTTGTTTCGATAATTACATATAAATTCCAAACTCATTTTGTTCATTAATGCAAGAAAGTTAGTATAAGTTATGACTAGTCCCAAATAATATAACATTTTATAAATGATTTTATCTGCAAAATGACAACATTGAACACGCTATTAGTCAAAATGGATTTTTGGCCAAAATTAAGGCTGCCATCATTGACTTACAATTATATGGACGTCGGGTCCGCGCCAAAAAGTGTCCGAACTTATAGGGCGTTAAAATCGTATACAGAGCGTCATTCACGCTTTAGTCTTCGTTTGTTCGACTGACAGCGAAGCAAGCAAAATTAGACAATACTGCGATGACATTACAATTTAAATTCAACGTTTTAGCTTTTTCATATTCCTTTACATGTCACTACGTTTAAATTGGTTGATTTGGGACATTTTTTTTCGTGGTTTGTGTATTAGACCCGTCGTCCATTTATTTGTAACTTAAAATGGCTGCCATCATCTAAATTGTTGAGTAAAAAATTACCGCGCATTTGGGTGAAATCGAGCGTTTTTCCCGGACCTCTTAAACAGACTGTATATTTTTAATAAATATAAAACAATCATCTATCCTTTTTTTAATTCATTTAACCCTTGGCGCGTTCTACGGACCTACGCGGGTCCGTAATATTTTTACTACAAGTAGCGATCCTATGGATCCACGGTAGCCCAAAATGCTTGTTAATTTTTGATGTTGGTAAGTTTTGTAAAATTAATTGTAGCAAAGAGTAATGGTAAAAGTAATAAATGAGAATTTTTTCGTGTTTATCGGAATGCGGATGGATGACGGGTTAAAATCCCCTTCCAGGCGCTTGCCGGACGCCCTGTAAATTAAGACAAATCTGGGAAAACATATTGTCGATATTATCCCAGCCCTAGAGAATTCACATAATGTTCAGTGTCCCGTCTTATATTATAAACAATCTAAATCAGATTTGCAGAGCGTAGGCTCTAATAATCTCAGCACAGAATACTAAAAAAACCGACCTCAAAAGTACGTACAATTACCAAGTTTTATTGAAATCGGTTACCGGAAAGTGCGCAACCCCGGATTCATTCCCTAGTTCGCCACTATAGTTATACTACACTACAGTATAGTTCGGACCTGACACAGGAGATAATAAAAATCGGTTCTCACTACTCAAAGCATATTGAGAGAGAAAAACGCCTTGAATTGGGGAATAACAAAATCAACCATTAAAATAATTGCTCCTTATAATAAAATTTATAGCGGTATTTATAAAAATGAATTTTCATGCGTGAACAGCCACCCTTAGAGGTAGATGATTTTCTTCAAAATTAAATGGGACCACTATGGAGGTAGGTACTCTCTTTCCAACAAAAAAAAGAATCATGAAAATCGGTTCCCAAATACCGTACAGTTATCGCGTAACATACAAAAAAACATACAGTCGAATTGAGAACCTCCTTTTTTTGAAGTCGGTTAAAAAGACCTAGAATGGCTTGAATGTTTATACGAATACATAACCATACTGCTTGTGTATAAAATATTTGTTAGGTTATACTTGACTGGGAAATTACTACTCTTTAGAGTGGTTATACACGTATGGTATGGTACGTCGTAGTGTAGCACTTGCGATTTATAGGCGATTGCATCGATACAACCGCGCAATTGCATCTATACAATCGCCTATAAATTCCACGTGTAGCGATGCAACTCTCGTTTGTGTAGAATGCATCGCTGCCTAAAATCGCGCGCGTGTGTACAGGTAGACGATTATCGACTGCATCGCGTTTGCATCGCCATGTGTAACCGCTCTTAGGGTACATTATTTTGAAGATTTATGATACAGAGTATAACAAACTCGTTACGAAGATTATTTGATACACAGCGATGCTTTTTTCTATAATATTTAGGTGTTCATTCTTTCCATTACCACGTCTATGTTACAAACAGATTAATGTCCGTTTACACTAAACTTGAAAGTACACTATAGCTGCACTTTTAAGTTTAGTTGTTATATTATAGTTTATTATATTATACTTTACTGTACTGCCACAGCGCTCGTCACCCTGAGACATAATTTGATAAGTGCCATGTGCCTGCAATTGACCAGCACCCACATTCTTCAAAATCAGAACGCAGTAATGCTCATATTACTGCTTGGCGGAAATAAGTAAGGTGGCATTACTTCCCTCGAAGTACTATTGTGTATTATACAAGGACTCTAACAATTTAGGTTTCTTTTTTGTGGAATAAAATATGTATTATCTAAATATTATAAATAACACACTCACACACTGACGAAACCCTGTATCGCGGGTGACGAGAGAAATAAATTTAGGCCATAAAAACATTTCTCCCGTCCCGGGAATCTAACCCGGGATTTCTGCGTGATAGTTCAGCATGGTAACCGTTCAGCTACGGATGCAGTTTTAAACTATCTAAATGTACTTAAACTCGATAGACTGAAAAGTACCGATTATTTTAATGGATTGATTGAACTAATTAGCTTAATTATTTTTGAATAATTAAGGATCAGACAGATAATAAACGTTGTTCTATAAATAACCTTTTTGTAATTGGCTTACATTCTTTTAATAAGTACTTACAAATATACTTAGTATAAAACGCTAGGCATTTTAATTTTACAAGACTTACCAATAGCCAATAAAGTCTTCAATTTCGGGTTCGCTTTCTTCAGCGCATTGATCCTATCATACAATCCAGTCTTTCCATCTTTCGTTTCGTCGTTGGACTCGAAGGAGCTGAGCTTTCCTTTCTTCAACCACCCGAAAGCGAAAATGATGTGAGTGCAAAGATCAGGTTGGATGTCTTCGGGAAGAAACTTGCCGATTTTTGTACGGTATTGGGACCAGTTGGTGTAGTAACAGACGACCTGGAAAGAGATAATGAAGTAATTGTTGTAAAAACCTGTGCTATCATATCAAACCAAAACACTACAAGGCTCAATACAGTGTTTTGTGATTTCATAACTACAAGAATCTTATCAAGCTGTTATCAAGGGAAACAAAATATTAGTTTTTCAATAGAAATAGCTTATCTTCTAAAGTAAAATTACAATGGACAGACAGATTTCTTTAATATCTAATATACAACGTAAGTTAAATGTATATTTTTATGTTATTAAACCTCGAAAAGGATAAAAAAAACGAAAAATCAAAGGATTTTGAAGAAAGCTAAAGAAATGAAAGAAATGCTGTTTTTGATATGACAGTGTTTTGGTGTATGTTATACGTTACTGAATTGCTAAGTGAGCATTAATTATTTCTTGCATGCCGAGCTCTGACTTTATAGTGTTATAAACTTTTGACGGTATTGTAAATTTTCCAGGATAAGGCAAACAAAAGTTAATATGTGTGTTCTCGGCCAGTAAGGATTCCGCAAAGGATAGCGGCAAAGTAAAATGTTTGACTGTTTTAGAGCAGCAACAATTCATTATAATATACTTCTAAATTGTCGCAACAATCTATTTCCTAAACTTAGTCGTTGTTTTAAAAGACTCGTAAATGAGATCGCAACGTCGCAAACGTATTGCGAAGGCCAGCAACTTGACTCCGGTTATTCAAAAAGCTTTAGACCACATCCGCATTACATTTTACTGTGACAAAATTGACATTGTTTCTCTATATAAAATTAAAAATTATTAATTAAAACTTTTTATGTAATTAATAATGTTCACAATGAAACGAGAACTTGAAACGGTAACAGAAAGTGTATATTGGTGTATGGTGTCGTACAAGGCGCAATACTCGGGCCTCGCCTTTTCCTTGCATGTCAATCAAAGGGAAGCTACCTTTCTAAACGTATGAGGAAGAGTAAACCTATTTCCTATTAAATAGGCAATTATTTTCAATTTCTTGTTACGTAAATGTTTTATGATCATTAGTGAGCTACGTGATTATCTAATATTCTTAACGCATGTAATTAATTTCAGATACACGGTTTTAAATTCATAACCGAGGAATTAGTTCCGGAAATGTAAAATTATTATGAAACCGTATCGTTATAGGAAAAGGCGAGTATTAAATATCTAGTATTTATTTCGATATTTCATTGTAATTTATATATTAGAAATAATACATTTGTATTCAATTTATTGGAATTTAAACTAGGTTGTCGAAAATATTATGCCAAACTAAAAGGAACTCGCTTCTGTTAAAGATTTCCCTTCGGAAGGCACAAAGAGTGAACAGACATTTTGTCATCATGTAACTCCTGAGGTATTTATTTATATTTATATGTTGGATTTATTTTGCAGATTTAAGAGGTTAGACTTTAGGATCCGCTTGGTACAATAACTCACGTTTTGATAACTTTGTGCATTGGATTCTTTTTGCTTATCTACTAATTCGTCCTACGTCTACGTCCAAATATTGTAAGTTGTGCCTTTTTGTAAGTATTGCAATTGAAGTAATAATATACATAATAAGGACACTGTTCCGTATATTACTAAGTAAAATCTTTAGATATAAGTTTGTAAACTTAATAAGCGTTAAATATGACCTTTTATGATAAACCATGTGATGATTGATATTAGCGTATTCAACAATTATGGAGATAGATTTCTATATAAAATTAGGTAGACAGACTTTTTCCTGATCCGGACCTGATTGTAAGTCAATTTTGACCAAAATATGCCTTTTTCGTTTCAAGGGCACAATTGTTAGTCTCTTCTATTATACGTTGAGCCTACGTCTTACGTAATATAAATTGGAACCGATAAGTTAGTCTTTGAAATTTGCAGTGTTAGTACACGCAACTTAACTTTGTGTACTTCTTCAAACAATGTAATTTTAAACCCTTTATCATTATGTTGCTTTGTCACAAACTTGAACATTATGTAGGCGTAAGTTGTATACTGTTTCCAAACAATCATTTTAACAAAATGTCACCGCGTACTAATATACGAGATGGCGTGGGTAGATAAGAAGATAATTAATAATTTATTAAAACCAACGATACTTTAAATGTCATGGGTTAAGTACACGATACAAAACAAGCGGAAAGATTAAGGTGTTTAAGACCATAATACCTTGTTTTGTATTTAAAAATGATGAATATTTAAGTGTTGAATAAAAAAAAAATCTTACTAATTTTTGTGCTTTAGTTCTTAATCTCTGGCGCCTTCAAATTAAAAAAAAACGTACACAAAGAAGCAGTGATAGTAAACATTTTCTTCAGTCAACAAAATACAGGAAAAGAAAACATCGTCCGAATTGATGACAAATGACATTTAAAATTGACACGATAAAAATAATTAATAATACATAAAAAGAAAATGAAACTATTTTTCCGGATTTAAACCGCGTATATTTGTTTTTTCAAACAAACCGACGTTTCCGGCCCTTTACAGGTCCCATGGTCACGGTTGACAGTCAACCGTTTTTAGTTTCATTTCCTATGTGTAACAATCGCGAAAAGAACCTAAGAACTCGCGCCTAAGAACTCGATATAAATAAAAAGACTTTTTATAGTGCAAGTCTTATTCAAAAATATCTAAATTTTTCGTTTCATTTGTAATAGCGAGTGCCACGGAATAAAAAATACGTAATAATTACATCAAGATAGTAAATATGTTCGAGAATTTTATTTCACGAAATTAGGTAAAATGACTGAATAAAATGATGCCTAATTAAAGACCCAAAATTAATTTCCTTCTGTCCAATGCTAAAAAAATCAAAGTACAATATTTATAAGCGCAGTTGCAGCGCCACTGTCGTGATACGCGCGCCACACTTTTGCAGTCACAATTATTAGTAAACTAAAAATTACTGAAGATTTAGACTTCTTAGTTCTAAACTTACTTCCTTTGGCATTTCAAGCTGTTAAGTAAGCATGTTTAAAACTTCTTTAAAAGCCATATCTGTAGCTTACCTTGTATCCATCCTTATCTTTATGATCGTCAGTGCCAACAGAATTGTCAATAGCAGCAGTTGATTTCCTAGCAATGTTGGGGCGGCCTCTGATCTTAGGTCTGTTCACACTGGCAGATATGATCTGGTCTGAAGACCTGGAGACGCTGGATGTGACTGACGTGGAGACATTGGTGGGCTTGCGAAGTCTTCTGCGGACATCTGTAAATAATGATGAATTTGTTAGATATGTTCTATAGTGATATAGAAATATACTAAATTATACAGCTTTTGCATGACAAAAGTTCACGATAGTGACCCGTTTAGCTCTTTCTTTGATACCAAATGACGGCACGAACAAGTCGTGGGCCTAATGGTCAAAGATACGCCTGTCCATAACAGTTGCAGTGCCATTCAGAGCTTTAAAACGCAAAGATCGGACACTGCCGCTGCGTTACCTTGAAACTTAAGTTGACAAACCCTGTCCCTGTAATTTCACTTCAAAACCGGAACGCAGTAACGCTCATATTACTGCTTAGCAGCAGAAATAGGTAACGTGGCAGTACTTCCCTGGACGCATTTCATAGGGATCTTTGCAACTACTGAAGCAATAAGTGACGTTTCGAAATCTTATTTAATGAACTTGGGAGACTCGATAGAATTTAAAGAATTATTTTACTTAACATCCCCTTTTAGAATGCTGGAGCTTACAAGCTTGACTGCGAGTGCGGTGTCTCTTATATTGAACAAACGTAGCGAAGTATTTATACCCGCGTCAAAGAATGCAAAGAACATATAGTTGATGTCAAACATCGTCGCGTAATCAAGTCTGCAGTCTGCGAGCATGTCATGGATAAACCTACACATTCAATCAAGTTTCACAAACTTCAGAACCTTGCAAAAGAAATCCGTTATCCACCCAAGATGCTGCGAGAGGCCATTGAAATTAAAAACAACATCCTAATTTCAACAGGGTAAATGGTTTCTCCGTACTCTGATGAAAAATCCCAAAAAGACATAGACTGCAGTACTAATTAATGTTATAATTTGTTCTAATTTCCATTATTAATTAATAATTAATTTAATAAAGTAAAAAATTCATATTATTAAAATAAAATGATTGTAAAACATATATAGCGTAAATTGGAATGTTCTTTGTAAAATTTAGAAATATGGTGTTTAATTAATAACTTTTGTAACTATAATTAAAAATAAGGTGGTTTGCATTAATATTAGACATAACTGGTTGATAACTTTTCCACCTCAGTCAACCGTGACCATTGGACATTTAAAGCGCCCGAAACGTTCGTTTGTTTGAAAACACAAATATACGCGATTTAAATATGGAAAAATAGTTTCATTTCCTACGTACGTAACTATCGCGAAATCCTAAGAACTCAATTTTGTTTATTTTATAAGTACAGAAATTTGTGTAACAATCATAAATTGTTCAAAATTTCCTGTATATATACTATTTTTGTGATCGTTTACAGAGTAACGAATTTAACTCCCTGGGGCACTACCTGGAACACCAACAATGTCATGAATAACGCAAGGTATCCATACAAAAGAATTTTTCAAAGCAATTTGGCAGCAACGTTTTATCGACAAACGAAATCATATTTGAACAGTCTCTTAAAGCTCAATTTCCATTGCCCTAGAACAGAACCAAAATGAATATTTTCGATCCGTTTCCCTTCAATGCATTAACTTTAGTAACTCTCTACACCTCTCTTTCATTCTGGCTTCATGTCTAATTCCTTCATTCTCCAATCAACACGTCACTGGAATTGTTTTCCTCAAAGGTTGACTGGTAGAGAGTGCTTTTAGCATTAAGTCCGCTTTTTGTACCATTATGTGTTGTAGTCAATAAAGTTAAATAAATATTTTGTATCCATGGCATTAAGAACTGTCTTTGTGTAACTTACAAACTAGATACGAGCCCATAATCTCGTCGCGCGTCTTCCGGAAAATTCACAACAATTTCGGGAGTTTCCGCTACTACCGCATCGTATCTAGTTTGTACGTGTACAATTTTGTTACAAAAATTCAGTTTTATTCCGCACCGCTGCAATGTAAATAGAGCTTTATTCACATGCGTCGGTGTTTTTAATTTCTCTGAATGAATTAATTAATTTCTCTCTATAAGTTTCGAAATATTTTTTTTTACTTTTTTATTTTTAAGAATGATTTGTGTGTCTAATTTATTGTGTCAATTCTGCCAGTGTCCGTTACGTGTTAGTTTCATAAAGAGCCTTATTTGAATAAATTTTCAATTTTCTGTTCATCGAAATATTTTTCCTTTGGTTTAAGAAACTAAAGTAAAGTTTATACCCTTGCAATATGGTCTCTTCTTTTTTGGAGAACTAAATTAATAACTCCAATTCGACGTCGATCAGCAAAATAACCGCTAGATGGCAGCACATTGATTGAAATTTCAATATAATATCAAAACGTCTTAACCCTTCAAAACCGAAATGCGTTACTGCTTGGTACCAGAAATAGGTAAGATGGCGGTACTTCCCTGGACAAACGCTTTCACGGGGAGCTCTACTGCTACTTAAATACTAAATATGCTAAAGTTAGAAGAGAAGAAGAATAATGTTTTCTACGTTCAAGTGTTTTACTAAAAATTTAAAAAGTTACATCGCGTGCCGCCCCCGGGGTATTGTACCCATTTATGGTTAAGTAGACCTTATATATTTTAGGTTAAGGTACAAACTAACTGAAAAGTAATTTTAGAAAAACAAAACACATTATTTGACAGTCGTTCTGTACGCTATTAGACAAAAAATGAATAACCAAGTTTTAAGTAGAGATAAAAAAAAATCAAACAATTTAAATAAATCAAGACGTATTGTAATTGCTTTTCCTTTTTTTTAATCATAAATTTTCAATGAAAGAATAACATGGACAAGTCTTTATAAATTATATTGTTTAAATAATTGTTTAGTCACGGCGAAGTCTACATAATACGATTCCTTGCTTTAAACAAATGGGTAATAGAGACATAGTACTCGTACACTTATCTAAAACAACAAATATGTGTATCATATTAAACTTAATTAGAATTAAATAAAGCTCTTGTGTAGACTCCGTCTGAAATATCTAGTTTCATTGTCATCACCCTATTTTGCACGGATTTTTTTCATTATCTTGAATTGGCTATAACTATAACTCTGTTCTAGCAAAAGTCTAAACCTCAATTTCGACAAAAACATTCAACTCCATCTCTTTTTATAGAGACAAACACATCAATTGCCTGGTCTCAAACTAGGAAATTCCCTGTACTATGAATACCAGAGCAACGGAGTTCATTTCGGGGCAACTTTTACCGGGAATTGAACCCAGGACCTCCTCATCCAGTGCCTACAGTGCAAAGCGTTGGGTTACCGAGATCGTTATAAACCATTCTGGCAAAAACCACCAACTCCCATTATGGCAAAAACCGCCTACTCCACTCTGGCAAGGCAAGTAATTTTAAAGCGTAAGATGAACGTAATACATAAATATTTCTTTATCCTTCACAGCACAAGATGAAACCCGGAAATTGCATAAAATCATATTCAATTTTAATTACTGAACCAACTCGTTCAAATCACGTAACTGGATCAGTTAAAATTACCTTATTATATTGAAGTATTATACATAACAGTTTCGCGATTCGCATTGCCAATCACTAACATGAATCAATTCATCTTATTTGACATAAATGTTAATCAAGGTATTGGAAATGTTATACTCATTATCGTAATTTAAGACCGAATGAGTTAAGATCTCCGTAAAAGTGAAATTGAGACAGAAAACGGGTCCATTTGTAGTGGTTCACTTTTATAATTTTATATAGGGTGTTATTAACAGTGCGCTTGAAATTTGATGAGGTAACTTACATAAAGTATTGAGCATTGAAGTCTGAGATAACCACCAAAAAAATATAACTATATAAATGTTTCAAACCTTATAAGCACGATGTATCAGGGGAATTGAATACTAAACATATACACTTATGGAGTACAATATTAGCTAAGATCAACAAATACTTCGTGAATGGAAAATGTTTTTTTTAAATTTCAAAAATTCTTTTTTTTTGAGATACACTGTAAATTTATTTATTTTTTCGTCCTCGATTTGTCATATTAAATCTCCCGCCCGCTTTGGAATGTTACCGTGATTTATAAATTTAAAAGATCTATTATTTTGTCAGACAATTCAAATAATTCAAATAAACAGGAGAGGTGAATCGTGGATGAATATTTCATTTTGATATGCTAGTTCTTCTTTATTGTATTTAAATTAGTTGTTGTTCTTTTTTCTAATGCACAAGTATGTGTGGTTGTAAATTTTTAATGACTTTTCGTCATTATGAGCTGTATCAAAATATCAGCGAGAGATGAGAACTCCATAAACCCATTAAGACTATTATTGCGTAACACGTTAAATGAAGTAATTTAGAGATTACCTTTTGAAAATGAAAAAGGGTCAGCTTCAATAAATAATGCTCAATTTTAAATAGAAAACAAGCGTGAGACTCAGAAATATGTTTACTAAATGACAGATAGCGATATTTCAATCAAATTTTGAAGAAAACTGTTAGATACTACGTCAGTGGATAGCGTGGATGAGACCTTAGAATTAGAAAGTTACATTATTAGTGTAGTGTGCAATCCTCGTATTACTTTAATAAGAATGAAACAAACAAATAAAAAAAAAAAAAAAAAAAAAAACGAAGGTCAAAGTCAAAGAATTATTTATTCCATACATTGACTTACAAATAAATGGACGACGGGTCTAATACAAAAACCACGAAAAAAATGTCCCAAGTCAACCTAATTAAACGCAGTACTGTCTAATTTTGCTTGCTTCGCTGTCAGTCGAACAAACGAAGACTAAAGCGTGAATGACGCTCTGTATACGATTGTAACGCCCTATAAGTTCGGACACTTTTTGGCGCGGACCCGACGTCCATATAATTGTAAGCCATATTCCATAAGCAAAATAAATTTACATTTGAACAAGTCACATTTTAGCTACTGCTTGTTCATTATGCTGACTGGTGATTGCTCTCTTCAAATAAACTTAAATGCTACGGAATACACTTTGAATCAAATTTGTGTGGAATCAAGAGCCATGTCGTCTTTCCATTCGTCGTTACCTAATACTTAGTCTTCAATTTTGTAATATGACTTTTCAATCAAAATATTTTTAATGTAGTTTTTAAACTTAGGAAATGATAATCTTAATATATGCTCCGGAATCTTATTGTAAAAACGTGTACAGTTCCCCATAAAAGAGTCGTTTATCTTGGTTAAACGAAATTGTGGTATCATGAGTTTGGACTTAGCTCTTAGGTTAAAATTATGGTAGGGTAGTTGCTCGCTGCCGCCACCCGCACCCGCGCCTGTTGTGAGTAACTGGGCTTTCAGGGCTTTATGTGAGCAGTTTCCGTCGACTCACCGCAACGGAATCTCGTGACTAAGAATCACGCACTAGTTCTAAAAAATTTGACTTAAATACGTGAGTTATCCGTTAGTTTAGTTAAAATGATTCTCAGATTATAATTAAAGTACAGCGAGCGAAATGAGCGAAACGAGCGAAACTTTCTTTCTTCCACTCAAATTGCATAATCTAATTGTAAAATTACTCGATGGTTAATCAACTTACACGCATGAAAGAAACTAGCATTTCACAATTTTAAAGGCAGTAACGTTCAAATGATGAATTTTGATGTGACTTGAGATAATTGAGTTCATAGGTGACTTTGTTAAGGCGATGTATTTTAATGTGAGCCTAGATTTTAGGAGGTGAGATGTGGGGGGGTCAACCCTTGCGTCTTATAATCCGCAATCTGTAAATTAATACGACTAAATTAAGAACAGGCGGAGACAATTTGACACAGAGTCGACGTCAACTAGCACCCCATATTGTCTAATAGGGCAGCGCACGGCGCCGCGTATAGTTAAACCGCTGAGCAATTTGCAAAATTTTGAGACAAATCAAAGTCAAAGTCAAAGATTATTTATTCCATAGGTAAAATAAATTTACACTTGAAAACGTCACATTTAAGCTACTGCTCGTTCACTACGCTGACCTCCCTGAGAAGAACGAGCAAGAAACTCTAGGGATTGCTCTTTTCAAATAAACTTAAATGCTATAGAATACACTTTTGATTTCGAATCGAATTTGTGTGGATTCTGGAGCCATGTCGTCTTTCCATACATCTTTATCTAACACGTAGTCTTCAATTTTGTAATATGATTTTCGATCAAAATATTTTTAATGTAGGTTTTAAACTTAGGAAATGATAAACTTAATATATACTCCGAAATCTTATTGTAAAAACGTGTACAGTTCCCCATAAAAGAGTTGTTTACCTTCGTTAAACGAAATCGTGGTACCTTGAGTTTGGATTTAGCTCTAAGGCTAATATTATGGATATCTTCTTTGTTATTGAAATTATGTATATTTTTACGGGCATATAAAATATTTGAGTAAATGTACTGTGATGCCACAGTCATGATACCAGTCTCCTTAAACTTTTCTCTGAGAGAAACCCGAGAGCCTAGACGGTACACAGAACGAATCGCTCGTTTTTGCAATACAAATATAGTTTGAATATCTGCCGCTTTACCCCACATGAGAATCCCGTAGGACATTATACTATGGAAGTAACTAAAGTAAACTAGTCTAGTAGTACTAACATCGGTAAGCTCACGTATTCTGCGGACTGCATATGCAGCGGAGCTTAATCTGCTGGCCAGGGAAGATATATGTGGAAACCATTGAAGTTTACTATCTAAGGTCACTCCCAAGAAGACTGCTTTGTTAACAAAGTCTAACTTTTCTCCGTTTATTTCTATGCTTGGACTAGTCGATTTTACGTTAGGTAATTCAAATTTAACACATTTTGTCTTGTTGGCATTAAGCAATAAATTGTTAGCATTAAACCAATAAACTACCTTAAAGAGGGTATCATTAATATGGTCATAGTTAATGTCATGTCTGTCTGTTTTAAAAATCAAGGATGTGTCATCTGCAAACAACACTATGTGAGTTTAATAACTATGGGGCTGCAATTGAAAACCAACATTTAGCAGCTTCTCTGTGGAACTTACAGAGAAATATCTTCATATAAAAATTACGTCCCAAGTTAGATATTTTATTCCAAAATAATCCGTTTTAGAATTTACTTTATCCTGTATATAGAGCATTTTATATGATCGGATAAAGTATATCCTATCGTGTAACAAATTAGCACATTCTTAGACAATATTCTTAAGTGTAAGGAATATATTTGTAAGATCATTGTTTAATAGTAAATACCTAAACCATTTGATGTAGCAAAATAGTTGTTGCCACTTCCCCTGAAACAATTTCGCAAGCGCAAAATGTGCAGAAATGTGAAAGAAGCAAAGAAAGAAAGACTGCTGCGCCTAGTATAGTTTTATCTCCGGATGTTAATCCACATTTCACCTAACCCGTCGCATAACATGTCACACCATGTTTTTGAGAAGAACAAATTGTCGAATTATCAGCTATAAATTGTTAGAGCCATTTGTTTTCCTCTGTCCCAATACGTCACTCGGCCGACTTGTTGTCACTGTAATGGCCGGTCGTTTGAAAAAATAAATAAAAACGCTTTTATTTGACCTTTCGGAATAATATATAATGGTTAGCTTCACGCGACAAAAACCTAAAGGCTAACTTTTATGTTTATTGTCAAAAATGTGTTTTTGTCAAAAATAAATCGTATAAATTATGAAGGATAATGTTGGCATTTATTTGTTTTATTTCTCTATATTTTGTCTGGAAGGAGAAAATTCCCAGAGGCCGCTATTAGCGTCGGCTCTAAAACAGTAATTTATTCCTAGTTTTTCCCTTCGGTGTCATGCCAGTGAGGCCAACTGGGAAAAAAAAATTCTCAGTCCCATGGATGGTGGCGATGGAGTGGGAGTAATCAGGAATAATGCAAATAACGTTGAATAGAACTGAAATATAAAGATAAACTTACGTGAAGATTCTGAGACAGAGATGACAGCTACTAGCAGTAGGAGCGTGAACGCCCACCGCAGCAATCTGGGTGGCAACTGTAACAAATAGAAAAACGGAATGTTAATAGAAATTGAGGTAACTCGGTTACCTGTAGTTCCGCTTCAGTAAAAATAACCTTAGACGAGAAATGGTGAGAACCGATGGAGTAAAACGACAGCGGAATAGTACCTAAAAAAGGATCACAGAAACGGTCAAGCGTTTCAGCGGGATAAGAAGACATCTACAAAATCGCGGGCTATAGATATGTGAGAGCAGCGCAAGATTACGGTAGATAGCGTTGAATGTGGATGGTGATGAAAACTATCTTTTTTCTTTTATAATACCAAGTGACGGGATGAACAAGTCATGCGCCTGGTGGTAAGCGACACGTCTATTCATAACAGTCGCAGTGCCACTTAGAGGTTTTAATCGCAAAGATCATGCGTTGACAAGTCCCATGTGCTTGTAATTTCACCAGCACGCTTACGCACACAATACTGCTTGGTGGCAGAAATAGACTACGAAATTACTTAAGAGGGAGCAGAGGAAAAATTCCTAATCTTCGATTTGATTTTAGAGGGGTATATCCACTTTAAAGTTAAAAATAAAATATTGTATGAGTAACTACACGATATATTGAAGCATAGATGTAAATCAGAAACATAAAACAATAAAGTTTCCTCGATAGATAAAAATCACGAAATGACCTCTAATTTTCACATTTTTTCGATTTATCCTCGAAATGCTACAGGTTATTAGGACAAAAATTAGATAATTAATTATATTTTATTTTTTAATCCCTTTAGTTTTAGAGTTAATCCGCTAAAACGAATTTGGTACTTTTAATGCGCAAAATTCAACATGTCCTGTCGCATGTCACGCGAACTTCAGGCATATATTTGTTTCACAAATTTGGGCGGAGCCAACGTCAAAACTTTTTTGACATGCTCCCTCTTAATAAAGGCGAACGAATAAAATGAAAACGTTCTTTTTTCAAAACAAAACATTAGAAAGATGTCAACCATCTCACTGAGCAGAAGATCATTTATTCATTGTTTGATAAGAAAGAACGATGAACGACTATTAAAAACGAAAATACGAAAGAATATCCATATAATATAATATAATCATGCATTTGAAGCTCAGTGGTCCGGCTTGCACTGTTGGTGCGTGATGAGGATGAATTGAAATTTTTTCAATTAGTTCTGTTCTGAGTATTCTGTTTATTGCCTCGGATTGAATTCCGTTACTCTAAAACTCATACAAGGGATTTCCTACTTCGAGACCAAGTCATTGATTGAGTGAACTGGAAAGTTATTACTGTAAAAGTACCAAATAAATGTCCAGCGAAAACTACAACTTCAAAGCCTCCTTCTTTTATACAGGACGGACAAGACGTGCATCTGATGGTAAACTGTCCATAAAAGTTGCCGTGTCACTCAGAGTTTTAGTGCCACTGCGCCTGTCAACCTGAGACATAAATTGACAAGTCCCATGTGCCTGTAATTTCACCAGCACCCTTCAGAAGCCGAACACAGTAACGCTGACATTACTGCTTGGGGGCAGAAATAGGTAAGGTGGCAGTACAACCCTGGACGAACTCTTTCACAAGGTGCTCTACCGCTACTCAATGACTAAGATATATAGAACTTAAATCATATCGATCACTATATCCAATTAAACCGAGCTTAACCCCTCACGCGATATATGCAGCCGTAGACGCATACCACACCTAGAGGTGCCGGTGATGATTTTATACCGATTTATCGAATATCGAAGTTCTAACAGGTAAAAGAACTAATATTAATTGCTATTTCGGTAACTACTCTAGCAAACCACAAAGTTTTTAATGCCTGGGTTTGTCATTTAAAAAAAATAAACAACTTCAAAAATACGTCACGACAATCGTGTGTGTGATTGTTTGGGCTGGTGATTTTGGTGTTTATTTATTGAAAACATACAGTAAGTAGCGTTTTTTAAGTTTACCCTGAATATAAATGTCTATAAACTATACTTTAAGGAGTAATTTCATGGTAAACGTTAGAACCACTCAAACGGAATATTATCATATTTATCCAAGCAAAAATTTCATTAGTGCTTTTTAAGTGCTGGATTTGCGGTGTATTACTGCATTTTATTTGAGATGTTTTTGTTGGTAGTACGAAGGGTATTTATTTAGCAATGCAGAATAATAATTTTTATTTGTAAAAACTTGTATTTAAACTGAATGCTTTTTAATTTGCGAAACCAAATAGCCGCCATTTTGCGGTAGGAGGAGCGCATCGCGTGAGCGGTTAATGCCAAATACACGCTGTATTACTCATAGTTGGCGAAACTTACATGCTCCTGTAATTTTCCTGAGGCTATTCCCGCGAATGTCCCATAATTTCACGCAGCGTGTTTGCTCATAACGCCACAGGCTAAGCCGTTTGCTGTTCATTTATCATTTCCGCCTTGTGTATAGTGGAACCACGCATTTTCTTTATATTATACGATTGGGACTCGGGAGACAGGATCAATTTCATGGAAAGTGGTTACTTACGATACTGATGAAGTACTCTTATTATCGGCCGGCCGTCGCAGAACTCGACGGTTCTAGAGCCATGTCGTCTTTCCATACATCTTTATCTAACACATAGTCGTCAATTTTGTAATATGACTGTTTAATAAAAATATTTTTAATGTAGTTTTTAAACTTAGGAAATTATAATCTTAACCGGAATCTTAAACGTATACAGTTCCCCATAAAAGAGTCGTTTACCTTGGTTAAACGAAACCGTTTAAGGTTAATATTATGGATCTTATTTCTTATTGAAATTATGTCTATTTTACGGGCATGCAAAATATTTCCGTAAATGTACTGTGATGCCATGATACCAGTCTCCTTAAACTTTTTCTCAGAGAAACCCGAGAGAACCTAAACGGTACACAGAACGAATCGCTCGTTTTTGTAATACAAATATGATTTGAATGTCTGCCGCTTTACCCCACATGAGTATCCCGTAGGACCTAATACTATAGAAGTAACTAAAGTAAACTAGTCTAGCAGTATTAACATCGGTAAGCTCACGTATCCTGCGGAATGCGTGTGCAGCGGAGCTTAATCTTCTGGCCAGAGAAGATGTGATTAATTTTGTAGGTATATTGTGTGTTTATTTATCAGCAAATTATTTAAACGCAGTTTAGTTAGTATTGTAGATTGTTTGTTTTTCGAAAGGTTTATTGCTTCCCTTATCCCAATACCGCAACTGTGATGTCCTTTGATAATATTCGTTTTTATTCGCCGGTATTTATTTTTGTTTCCGGTAATAATTATGAAAGTATTTTAAGGTTAAGTCATTCGGGAGTAAGTCGATACTATTAGGGTACAATTCATATGTAGGTACCGTTGCATAACTGACTTTCTATTCAAATTTTTTACGACTCACTCTTCGCCATTTACGTATAATGAGCTTATAACGTGTTTTGTAGCGCCTAATGATATTATTACACAAACATAGAAAATGGACGTCGTTTGTTACAATTTGAGATAATGATATAGCAAATAATGTATGTAATGTAAATCTGTAATTAGTACCAGTAGAGCTTCTTTTGAAATAGTTCGTCCAGGGAAATACTGCCACCTTACCTTTTCATTGCTGCATTATTATTAGCATTGCTGATTTCCGATTTGGAAGGGTAAGAAAGGGTGCTGGTGAAATTACAGGCACTTGGACTTGTCAAATTATGTCTCAGGGTGACGGGCGCAGTGGCAGTGCCTCTCAGATATTTGCGATTTAGAGCTCTGAGTGCCACTGCAACTGTAATGGATAGGCGGTTCGCTTACCATCAGACGCACGACTTGTTCGTCCCGTCTCATAATATTATAAAAAAGTCTTCATATTTTTATAATTTATTTAAATTCTAATTGTTATTTATAATATATATTATTATGCTGTTGTATCTATAAATCTAACTTTAAATGCATGTTATATCAAAAGTGATATAAGAAATGTGTATAATATTCCTATGTCAGGTTTTGGTGAAATGTACGATCTTAAATATACTATACCAACTTAATTATATTTTTCAGCCAATAAATCTTGTTTTCTTGTATTTTTGACCGCGGTGGTATAGCGGTTAACATTGCGGGCGCTAGATGTGGAGGTTGAATGTTCGATTCCCGTGAAGATCAATTATAGAAACGAAGTTTTGTAAATTGTTCCTCGTTTGGGTCTTGTGGGTAGCACCCCGAATTCCGTTGCTCCGATACTCAAAGAGATATCTTCTAATTTGAGATCAGGTTATTGGCCACATTATTATTACATGTAGTATGTGATGAACAAACTGTAACATTTTTGTTGTATATATAACCCGAAAAAAACTTGATTTCCATTGTTCTATGCAATTTAGTGTTTTAGTGTAACCTGGTACTAAAAACCAAAAACAATTAAAAAAATTAAAACATTTAAACAAAACATTAAATAAATACACGGTGCTTTAAAATAATCTATTTAAAATGAGATCTCATGTATAAGCAGATATGTGTACAAATGTGCTATCTACTCCGTAAACGTTAAGAGATTTAAATGAAATTCAACATTTTGTTCAGAGAAATGAAAAATAAATACTCGAAAAGCAGTTGAAAGCGGACTGATTCGAGCATCTCCAATTTTAACGAGCCCGCTTCCTCTTTCAGTCTGTATTTTTTTAGTTCTTTCCATCTGAGTAATTAGGGATTGCAAGAGTTTTATGCATTATTCGCAAAATTCAAACGGAGTTTGCGAAAGTTTGTGTGAATCGTTGTTTTTTCCCGTTTTTAACGAGCGTTTGAATTTTGTTTGCAATTATTTTAACGTTATGTAACTGCGTATTTTTAAATTGATTTTTATTCTCTTACTCTGGACCCCGTAATAGCACAGGGTGTAACAAAAATGTGTAGCCACGGTTGGAAGAGAAAATGTCAATAAAAGTGAACACCAGTAAGAAGTTCATCTTCTAGGGCAGCAATGTTAGTATTAATGCGTTCCGGTTTTGAAGAGTAGGGGTGCTGGTGAAATTTCCAGTCGCAGTAAGT